TCGTGAGTCCCCATTTGACTACTCATTCCTTTCCCATTGTGACTTTTGTGATTTTGCATTGGTTACTTTTGCTTGTTAATTTATCCGAACACGCTGGTTAGGTCCTAGTCCGCTACAGTCCCATGCGATATTCGATATTACTTCGAGGGGGTTCAACGATTATCGGTAGAGAAACTCCTGGGAATCGAGATATGATTAACCCGAGGTAAGGATGCATCAACCGTGCCTTAACGTGGATAGAGATTCTTAGGCAGCCCCGCCCTATCACACTTTGCGATGCGTGGTGTATTGTATCTGTTTTGCTTCCAATATGACATCACGTATTTCGTCAATTACATAAGCGTTTTTCTTTGAAAACGCAAAACTACAAAAATGCGCTTTCGCAGATTCCACACAATACGGTGTTTCGACTTCATCTTCTGAGTTTGCACGCACTTGCAGCGGTCTTTGGCAAATTGCACGCACCAACCCAGGTATCAAAACATGTCAGACTACGTTCGGATTCTATTACATGTGGGAACTGTCCAAAAAGAAGGCATAGGCCAACGACGAGCTACTTTATAGAGAACAATTATCAGCGGGTCTGTTTCATCGGACCCTCTTTATTATTGCATACTAAATATAGGGTTACTATTTTTAATCCTTGGCCACACACCCAACAAAGTTGCCTTCTGGGCAGCCGGACCACTACACACGCTTGCATACCAGTCATCTGGCGTGGTAGATAAATTCATTTACACGGATGGTCGCATAAGTTCATTTGAGCCGATTGTAGACAGGATTGCTTCTCGAATCATGGTAAGCTAAGCCGTGGGCGAACTCCGACATAAATGGCACTAGCGAGATGACATTTTGTTTTCAAGGGCAGAGTGCAAACTGTGGCAGGTCGGTTCATACTGCTTCATGGATTAAAAACTTAGACCCTTCTCGCAGGGGGCGAACGACTGATGTTAGTTTTCGCCCACCGGTGTCTCCGGAGCGTAAGTCGGTCGTGGAGGGACGATAAATTTCCAAGTCTGGGGTGATTCTAAGGGTTGTGTAGGAAATTTATTGTTTCACGATGGATAAATTAATCAAGCTCCAGAGGTTACACTTGTTCGGACGCGTTCGCTGCATGTCAGAAGACCGTCTACTTCATTTTGCTCGACTCTATGAAGAGTGGAAGCACCGAGAGCTAGACAATGTTTGAAAGCACTGCCCAGTGGACTCAATCGTGGTGACAGTTTCCGCCTCTCAGCAAGGGAATCTCAGGACCTAACTAACGGATATTTAATGACCCCGGAGATCATGGCTTGATTAATATATCTGTGGTCTCGGCTATCAAAGCTCTTGAAATTTATGGGCTGCTTCCTATTCTCCGGGACTAGTTGATTGTTTCATCGCCTCCTTAATTTTCCAGCGTCTAAAGACACAGCAGTCGGTAACAACGTACCAGCGTTTTTTGACTGCAAAAGTCAAATGAACTCAAATAAGAATGACCAACTGTCATGATTTGTGGCTATTCACTGGCGGATAGTAGTCGCTTCCTTCACGTGGGTTGTATCAAGCCTGGTGGCTGTCGAATTGCACCGTAGGAGTTCGCATGAAATTTCGTGCTGAGCAGAGGCAATTGGGATTTGGATCTCAGATAGTGTGCGCTTTCCGTTCTGTATCCGAGCGCCGACCCGAATTTCCCGTTTTGGTGTGACACTACAGAGCTCAGACGACTCAAGCACTCATTCGTTAACGCTGGCGACAGTGACCGTGCTTCCTGATTGACAATGAGCTCCGATAATCCCCACCATACCTCGTGAATTTAGCCTCAGAACTGCAACTGTGACGTGTATTACACGCTTAAATGCTCCGAATTACTAAACACATAGGGACCGAGGTGTGGAGAAACTGATTTTATCCTGGGTGCCTTACGGTGAGCGGCCAAGCTTGAGTTTTGCATGCAGGCTTCCGTGACGTAACATTCTCACCTGAAGAAGGGTATGACCTCTGTTCAAGCATTACCAAGATTGATATGATCATGGATTCTACAAATTTGGCGCTCACATACAGCGTCACCCACCTGGCAGCTCCGGCACAGATATTGCGGATGATGAAATCATCATCAACTGGGTAGATCAGTTGCTTTGTTCGTTGCAGATTGGCAAAAGGACAGATGAGGCGCGTCTGCCAGATAACTGCGAATCAAAATTTCCTAAAACATTCACTTGTAGGATGGGGATGGATTGCAGAGGAATGTTGACGAACATATGCCAGCAACTGATAAGTACTAGGTTCCCAGCCCTTGGCCCAAAAGCGTAATCCACTTGGTTGTGGAAAGACGTAGTTTTTTCGGAGGCCTGACCCTGTCCTGCGACAAAATATCTGACCGGTGTTGACTACATAGGACTGGCTTCATTTAAAAGAGCAGAATTAAGAAAAAAATAAAGCTCTGTACCCACTATCCCCGACGGTCATTTTTTATTGTGACTGTGAACTCTTGATCACGACGGAACTAAGACAGCTGACAACCAGAAGTAAACGCCGGTTATTTCAGGCGAAACTATGGGGTTTTCTGAGTTACGACTCTTACGCGGGGTTTCTTCTATGCGTCTGCACATTCCGATAATGTTACTCATGGCATTTTATTCAAGTGGGCAAACTTGGAAGGTCAACAATCGCTACGCATTTGCACTTCATCGCCGATTTAGGCGATAAGTCGAGCCTCAACACTCTGCGGGCCATGACTTACGCACAGTGCATTATCTGCAAAACACCTGCGAGTGAAACAAAATCATTTACGTCAAAATGTCGCGCTTTTTGCTTATGTGCTCAAACAAAATCACCCTCATTTGCCATCAGTCTTTGCTATTTGCTTCTATTAATCTCGTTTATTAATCTTGGTGCACGTTCGACCCTACAATTGCAGTGCTATCGATTTGAAAACCGGCCTACGTGCGTTTATCGAGAACTTCTGGGCTATATCCTTTTCACCCTTCACGGCATCCGAAGAAGCCTGTGTGAACCTTCCGTTGGATCTAAACATCTCGGTGTCTTTCACTTTGTACTCCTCATCAAGTCAGTCATGTTCCGTGCAGTTCGCGTTCCTCCTTGTGCGACTGCGTGAACTGTTTCTCTCAAGGAACTTGTACACCTGACTCCGCAGAAAAAGTAACACCGCTGGGTCTCTCGAGTTTCGATACACACTGTGCTTTTGAGTTCTCTACTACCATTTATCCGCAGTGCATACCCTACCACTTCACCATCTCCACTTACATTTTTTCGCGACCCAGGCCATACCCGCAACATTCCACGGTCAGGAGACTGCAGTTTTGGGCTTTAGTTCAAATCGGCCGGTTCCATCGCGAAAGTTCTACTTCAGACTCCGGTTCGTCATTCTGGTTCCACATTTTCTGCAGTTTGAAGTTATTTTGTCACGTACCATGCGGGAAGCACCCTGCTATGCCCTCCCACGTATTGTTTTTGTTCGGCGAAAAAACTCCGTTTGGACGATTTGGTTGCCTGTTATTCATTCCACTTGGACTATGATCTACAACGGTAGGATCCTTAAACGAACCGAAATTAACCTGCGATTCGACATCGGCTTCGTTCTGCCCTATTCCCTCAGCCAGCCTAAAATACATACCGCTGCTCAAAGAACCGCACACCCCGGCCGAATCACCTTAATTGTAATATCTGTTACGGGGCTGTCCAAAAACCGAAGCATGTCAGGCCAGTGACGCCTGGCACTGCCATACCCAGTTTAATGGCACGCCCACAACTATTCCAGTCCTTCTCTCGTCCGTGCTCTGTCGCTTGCATGTTCCATTAACTGCAAATACGACAACCTCTCCACTCGACCCCAGTTGCCTCCACGACACATCTGGCACTGCCATACCCAGTTTGATGGCACGCCCACAACTATTCCAGCCCTTCTCTCGTCCGTGCTCTATCGCTTGCTTGTTCCATTAGCTGCAAATACGACAACCTCTCCACCCGACCCCAGTTGCCTCATTCCAACCTACTGAACTTTTCGTTCAAACTTAACCTTTACTGTGTCTGTGCTCCCCACAAAATTCAATAAGTTTCTATACATTTCGTGTTCCGGCTCGCGTGTTGCCATTATCACACTCTCCAAAGGACCCGTTACGCCCGAATCCACAATAGTGATACCGGTGAGTCTCTACAGTTTCACCGTACACCGTATTTCTGTGAGTCCTGTTAACCCATATCCACTTTTTCAACCCCTCCACTTCGTCATCCCCGTTTTTGTGACTCTGGCCATGAGCTCAGTAGCTTAAATCAACGAAGCATCAGCGGTAGGTTTGGGTTCTAGTTCAACATGGTCGGCTGGATGATACCAACGCTGCTGCTCCACCCGATCTGATTTTCTGGTTCATCGGTTTTAACATTACACTTTTGTTGTTATGTGTTTGGCAGGAAGCCTCTTGCTTTGCCCTCTCTCGCTTTGATTTTTTGCCCGCTACCTTCAAATCCTAATGATCAGATGTTGCTCGATTTTCTCGCCAGTAACGCGTATTAAATATGCTTCCCTACCCATGCAGGTTTAGTGGTGATCATGCCTACATCAAACAGTGCCCACTCCCTATGATGCTGTCCCTTTTCCTAACGGTCCGTGCCCACAATCCCCGCCAGTCATGCTTTTATTCTGACCGTAACATTACGATAATGCCTGACGGTATGTCACCCACAAGTTGGTAATAAACATTATTGTTGTTATTATTTTTAAACGAGACTTAATAAGGGTGGATCTTCACCCAGTAGTCTGGCCATCAAGGTCAAGCTAAGATTGCCAGTATATGCTATTTTACTACTTGATACAGAGGGCAGTTCGGTGTTAATGGGCAAAGAATAGGCGTGCTAAGTGAGATCAAACACGTAATGAATGGCGGGGTAGAATTTTTGAGATTGTAGACAAAATTCTCCGGAGGCTATTAGCGAGTTGGACGATACTAAGGCAATCTAGGAAGAAGACGAATAATAGTAGTAATAATAATAATGTATATTCCCAACTTGTGACTCAGTCGGCTGACATGGACTAAAACTGGAAAGCCATTGTTGACCATGAGTGACCTTGGGCGGTCGGGAAAATGGCCGGAGTCATAACAAGCAAAAGTGGAGGTGGAGATGGGATAATTCGAATTGGGGCAACACGGCAAGTTTGGTCTCAAAAATATGGTGCAATCTGAGAACAAGCAGACCCACTGGTTGTACTGTTGCTGGAAAGTCAATTGAAGGGGTTAGGTTGGATGGGGACGCAGAGGTGGTTGAATTCGAACGAGTAGTCCAATAGGTTGCATGAATGTCATGGTGGTCGTTGAGGTCAATGAAAAGAGTAGGATGATGGTCACCAATACTAAGTGAGTCTACTCAGTTTCAGGGAAATCATATTTTCAAGTCAAAGCTTGCCATTAACTTCTACTTCGAATTATTGCATATCCGCCCCAGTTTTCGCTTGTTGTGGCTCTGGTCATTTACTCAACCACCCAAGGTCACTCAAAGCGAGCAATGGTTCTCACTTTTAGTTCTTGTCAGCCGGACCACATGACCATTGTCCTAGTTTTTCTCGGTTCCTGCAACTGCGATGACTTATCGCGTGACAAGCATACCTTGTTTGTTGTACCTCCTGCCGTGTTGTGTTGTGGCCTGCAGTGTTCATGTTGTGACGATCCGATCATGCCTCAATCAGCATGCTCCGTCCAAGTTGGGAAACGAGCCTATTACAATTGTCTTCATCAAACATTATCCTCTGTTTATGACATCGTTTTTTTTCGCGCACTCTCTACTACCCGCAACTCCCACAGTCATGCTTTATTCTGACTGTGGACGTATAATCATGCCTGATGGTATGCCACCCACCAGTTGGGAATAAATATTACTATGATGATGAGGCGTGAAGTTTCGCAGCAGCTCGGGAGGGCTGCTTCGGGTGCAACCGTAGTAAACTAGAAATATGTAGTGGCGTCGGTTTGTACGAACTAGCCTTCACACCAAGAGGTTGCAGGAGTTACGGAATTTGTATCAAGGACTCCTGTATGACTTCGGTCCAGCTTATGCTTTAAAGGCGCTTTTGTTTAGCAGACGATGTTGGAGTTAAATTTACATAACCCGCCTGTGCTATGGTGGTTCGAGGCCTAGAATTTGTCAGCGGAGTCCGTAAGAGAGAGGGTTGGTCCTAGGTAACAGCTTTTTCGTGAAAGAGCTTTGAATGCTTCCAATCCCGAATCTACAAGTTTGATTATAAAGGAAGAAAATGCGGGGCAGAATTCCGCGATTGGTGTTATGCATAGCCGTTGTGAGGAAAGTGAAATGAGCGCAGTATTAAAAGACTAAACCTCGTGTTCTGGCAACCTGGTGGGAAAAGCTTAACGTACAGGATTATCTGAGGCCACGATGTTTGATGTATTTTGAATGAGTAATAATATTTAACTTAATTGTGAAGGTATCAGCTGTTAGGAGCAGCAGCAGGAAGTTATCCAGGATTTCGTGTAGGAGGACCTCAGGCCAGAGTCGTTTGACTGGCGAGTCAGTGAGTCTAAGTCTTTCCCAATTTGTTGAATGGTAAGGGCTTGTGCAGAGAGAGGGAGTGTGTACGCGATTTATATATCGTCCACGAGGTGTTATGCATAGCCGTTGTGAGGAAAGTGAAATGAGCGCAGTATTAAAAGACTAAACCTCGTGTTCTGGCAACCTGGTGGGAAAAGCTTAACGTACAGGATTATCTGAGGCCACGATGTTTGATGTATTTTGAATGAGTAATAATATTTAACTTAATTGTGAAGGTATCAGCTGTTAGGAGCAGCAGCAGGAAGTTATCCAGGATTTCGTGTAGGAGAACCTCAGGCCAGAGTCGTTTGACTGGCGAGTCAGTGAATCTAAGTCTTTCCCAATTTGTTGAATGGTAAGGGCTTGTGCAGAGAGAGGGAGTGTGTACGCGATTTATATATCGTCCACGAAGAGGTTAACATCACCATGGGATGTGGCGCCAAAGGCATCATCGATGTACAGTTAGAAAAGTATGAGGCTAGTACGCTTCCTTGCATGACTCCATTGGTGCTCGATAGTGGAGATGATTGTATGTGCCCGATTTGCGTTATTTGCGCCCTGTCTAATAGGTAGGGGGCGAACCACTAAGATAAGGTTCCCGTGATGCCAACGGCACTACGTTTGTTTAGCAAGGATGCATAAGGAGCCTGGTCAAAGGCTATTTGAGTATCCGTGAAAACTGTTACAGTATAGTATCCATCGTCGCAGGCCTCTGTGGTGGTCTCAAAAAGAGGAAACTGGCAGCCAATAACGTATCTTCGAGATAGGAGTCGGTACTGCCGGGAATCTGTGGAACTAATAGCCAGGAGGAACTTGGTTAATGAACTTTTGACCAGACGTTCAAGGGTTTCCATTAAGAGCGAGGCATGTTGGATTTCCCAAGAGTTAGAGGGAGTTTGTCTGAATTTGGATTTGGATAATGGATTTCCTCCACCTGTAGGGGGTGATTTCATGACCTGTAAAGTATGTAAAAAGATTTATTACAAGAATTTAAAAATCTTGGCCGCCTTGTCTCAAAACACGAACTGTAAGGCCGTCGGTCCCCGGCGCGGCAGAGGGGAATCTGTGGAACTAATAGCCAGGAGGAACTTGGTTAATGAACTTTTGACCAGACGTTCAAGGGTTTCCATTAAGAGCGAGGCATGTTGGATTTCCCAAGAGTTAGAGGGAGTTTGTCTGAATTTGGATTTGGATAATGGATTTCCTCCACCTGTAGGGGGTGATTTCATGACCTGTAAAGTGTGTAAAAAGATTTATTACAAGAATTTAAAAATCTTGGCCGCCTTGTCTCAAAACACGAACTGTAAGGCCGTCGGTCCCCGGCACGGCAGAGTCCTTAATCCTCAGATGAAAAGAAAAAAACGTCATCCAAGGAGATGGTCATGTTACTGAGAGTCTGGTTACCCGGACCGACAAGAATTTGGAGATGTGTAGCAGTGGGTGTGGGTTTAGAGTTTGGAGGAATGGGTTTTCAGCAGCTGGGGAAGTAAGTGATCAGATGTTCTGGTTTATTGACAGCATCCGTGATGGGGTCACAATCTGTGAAACGTAAACACGCAGTTGAGCGTATGTTAGGGATACGACGCCTACACAACGGTCGGCTGAATGTTTTGAAATAGGACGGAGCTCCAAGGATGATGTTCTCTTCTCGGCTTTCGAGAGTTACCCGAAGGATTCTCCGTCGCCAGGCAGTTTATTGATGAAAAATAGTGACTAAATATCCCGAGACTTCCGATATTCTTTGATAGCCCGGCGTATTTTGGCATCCAGGCAGTTTAATAAATCAACCTGGACGGAGATACTGGAGACAGGAGAAACAAGGTGAGGAGCAGTCTATAGGTAAAAGATGACACAGAAATGGTGTGTATTTGTCGATAGGAAGAGGTCGTTCCCATCCTGGGAAGCCAACGTGAACGAAAAAGCTGATAAAGTATCCGGAGAGGGAGTAAAACAGGGATGGATTCAGGGGAACGGTTCGGCCATGATTGACCGCGTTGCAAGAAATGACGCATTGATCACTTCCTGGGAAGCATGGAGCAACTGCAGCTGTAGCCAGATGGCCATCATTGGAGAATATTAGGTTCAGGGTATACAGACACCAGCGGAGCCTCATACAATTTGGGAGAAGCCCTCCACATTAAGTTTGGCAAGCCGTGAGGCGCAACGGGTGGGGCCTTTAGTCTGGCAGATTAATGTCATCCAGCAGAAATTTAGAATGAGGAAGGGCATGTGCAGTGAAGATAATACGGGAGATGGAGGCGGCAAATAGATATAACCTATTGGAATGAGTCATTTGGTCTGTTCTGTTGATACTTTGTCTGACATAAGTTTATCACTCGTCCGCCTCAGGCACTCCAGTTTCCCGACCAAGACGGTATCCCTTCGCTCATCTTGGGAGCTGGTGGCCCGGACATCAGCACCTTCATCCTTGGTCTCTTACGTATCCCCCTTATCACTGACACAATTACAAGTCGGCGGAGGCACTCTACCATTGTTCTACACTGCAAGTCAGGTCCACAAACTGCTTCATCTAGCTATCGTGGCATCCATCGCACCTACTTACCCCCTCGTACCCTGGAGCTCCTTATCAAAGTCCCTGTCATGGATAACCTACTCACCACCAAGACCCTTAACAACCGGCAGTATGCGTTTATGGCACGGCGGTCAGCTAACACATGCTAACACACCTCACTGGGAGAGCCAAGGTAACCAAGGTCGGGGACCTGTCCTCATCACCTCTTCCCATTAGCGGTGTAACGGGCGAACGGTATCTTTGAGTGACGCGTAATACCAGAACCTCAGGGTAGGTAAAATAAAGTCGGAGCTGGGTTTCTATACGGTACTACCAGTGCAAAAGAAATTGTACAAATTATACAAACTTCGACAGTAGATACGCGTCCAGAAGAAACGGTCCGTTTGGACTTCAAACGTGCAAAGCAAGGGAGCAAACAGGCTCCCACGTGCGACAGTCACACGTGCAAAGTCAGACACGAATGGCCGGATGGCCTCAAGGGTGAAGTGATAAGGACAAACAAAGGTCAGTTCATATATACACACTAAGTACCAAAGTGGAGCGGGGGCTACAAATGGGGACATAATAAACGTGGGGAAGTTCATTTTCAACGTAACAGACGATACAACCAGCATATTTGCTCGGAGTAGTGCGCTTGACCCCACTGACCGACAAGAGGAGAAGCGACCCGGGAGACGTGGGCAGAAGCCTCGGTCCTGTTTATCAATCCGTGAATCCGTTGTACTTCACATCAATAAGGCCACTGATTCAATCACCTATGGATCCTTTTTCTTTTGGCTGATGATATTAAGGTAGCTTACACTTTAAAGGCAAATGACTCTGTTTCTCCTCTGGCAAACATTCTGTCTGACCTAAATTCTTTATCCCTCTGGTACTCTTACTCCTGTCTTTCTTTCGCTGTTCCAAAATGCCACGCCCTCTCACCTTCCGGATATTCCCTCTGGTACTCTTACTCCTGTCTTTCTTTCGCTGTTCCAAAATGCCACGCCCTCTCACCTCGATTCCGGATATCTCCAGGGATGCTTCTTTCTAATGAATTCTCAATCCCTGGTCTGCCTGAAGAGGGACCCAGGCCTTAGTTATTCTCGTGCATGCAAGGTACAGAGTGGCTAAATTTCGCAAGCGCTGTGCTTCTGTTCGCCTATCCTTCCACAATGAACCATGTTTAATTGCCGTCTTCAAACAATATGGAAGACCCATTCTTAAATCCAGCCCTGAATTCTCCTCAAAGCATTCGCAGGTATGCCGGACTGCTGTTGGAAATGTGCAGCGCTCGTTTACTGAGTCCTTGTTTCCGACGTCATTCACACTACCGTGTCGTGTTTACTGTTTGTCACTTGGGCTGTATCCACTATGACTGAGGTGAATTAGGCCAAACCTAGGCTTTCGTCATCGCCTATCTACCGGCGGGCCAACACACCCTAATTCTGGCCTTAATTTTCTTCCCGCTACTCCCCTATTATATCCGCAACTCTGGATTTTTACCCCCATAGCCAACCTGTCGAACTGTCCTTCAACAAACATTTTTCGTTTGCTTGTATTCCAGAATATGAAACAAACTCTCTTCCGATGTTCGCACTATATCATGTCATGTAAGCTCTCGAAAGACCCTCGATTCTTATCTTTACATTGAGGAAGCTCTGTCTCTTTGCGCCGCAACTTTTTTAAAACAAGGCCCTGAGCTCTTCTACGTTGAGCTCTCACCTCATTCCATACGTCGACTAATCTCGGAGGCGCGTGTGTCAATGAGTACTGATGTTTTTGCATGATGTGACGGATCACACGTTGCATCAGACGTTGGAAGGAGGACTGGTGGCTGCATGCTATGGTTGGATAGTAGTTCACCCTCCATTCTATTCATGCGAGCACTGCGGTTTGTCAGGTCACTGTAGACCCGAGATTATTTTGGTAAAGAGGAAGGAACACAGCTACTGAGTAGGAAAGGAAAGAAATGTCGGTTAGTTCAGCTGAGCAGCTTCAACTGAGCATCCCACTGACCGGCCTTGAGGAGTGGTGGCGTCGAGTGTTGGAACATTTGCCTGCGAGGCGCTTCTTTGGACACGATGAGGAGAAAGATTGTGGGGAATCGGGGTCTAGCAACTGCTTGGATTGGTGGCATTATCCGATTCGATTTAGGTAATCGTGAGCCTCGCCGGAAGAATAGTTGAGTGCGATTAAAGATGAGGTGCCCAAAACAGGTAGCTAGACGCTATACTGGAAGTAAGTAAACGCTACCGAGGGCTAAGGCCCTAAAATATTTTTACAACACCTGGCTAATCGTCTTTGCTGTTTGCCTCTTGGGCTAGGTCCTTTGTGACTGAGGCACATTAGGCCAACCATAAGCCCTCTGCATCGCTCACTCTACCGGTGGGCTCACATGGCTGACTCCCGCCCAGAGCCACCCTATATGTTCCACGGCTTTGGATTCTTGCTTTTACTACCGTTCAGGCCAAGCGCCTTTAGAGAGAATCCTCCCTTTTGCATGTATTTTAAACTGCAGAACAAACTTTACCCCCATATCCGCACCATACCCTCCCCTGTGGACTTTCGAACTATCCGTATATTTTACATTTGTATTGGAGGAGACAATTGTTTTTTCACCCCACAGCCTACACCGGACACGTTTTTGAAAGAGGCTCTAGGCCATTCAAAATTGTGCTCTCAAAACACCTGTCTTATCACCTGGTCCTAGAATGTACGATTATTAGTTTGAACCCTCCGGCGTTGGTGCGGAACATGAGGTAGCTTAACTTGTAGGCCCCTAAGTACTATGTTACCCGTCTATGATGCAGGAGTTCTGCTTCGTGTGCTCCATCGACACCTGCAAGTGCAAGTCTGTTGCCGAGATTTCCTAGAAACTGGCAGCGAAATTGCCTTTCACGTCCGTTCCCAAATGATTTCGATGAATTTCCTGACCTTCAACGTTGTCTGCCCCGACGACGGATGCATTTTTCCATCGTAAAGTGCGAACAATATGACGGAACATTCGCCCAGCAACAAGCTAGTTTTGCCCTCATGTAAGAATGAAAGATGAAAAAGGTGAGTCGCTTTTCACTTGCAAACCAATAAAGATATTGGCCCAAAGCTGAAAGGACAGTGTGACAGTAGTTCCTGCTCTTCTTGCAACATGGAGTCCATGTAGCATCGGTACAAACAAGTTTATGAACTGAAAATTCGGCATTTACTCCTCAAATATACGTTCAACCTAAGTACCTTGAAGCTTGTAGCAACATGCCGGATAAAGAAATAATGCCACGATTATGTTGGTGGATTTTCGTGTTATCGCACGGCTTGTTGCGAGAGATATCACGGAACGTTTCTGTAATCTAGGTGTGCTCTATTCTGCACCAACATAGCGGCTCTGTCTAGGGGGTTAGTTTGTTTTACCAAGGAGACTCTAGTGTTTGGCTCGCGGCAAACCCTCAACTCCATTGTGTATCCAAGTTTGGCTCAAACCCATTCGCTATAGAGGGTTCTCTCCCAGTGCACAGTTTTGGATTAAATTGTGCGGCGCCATGGGCTCGCAATGGTTGCACAGTGTAATCGAATTTTCGGAAGCTACTACATGTCCTTGATGGTCTGAAGGGGACGGACAGTTGAGTTCAGAGTACAATTTCAGATAGTTGAGCTTCATCTAGGCATCCCAGGGTCTCAGCAATGCTAGGAAAATATTCTACCAGACTTTACCGCCATGATTGTTTCAGTCGACAAATTAAATTTGCTGAAATTCGAACATGTGGACGTAGATTACGATGATTTTTGGTGCGAGCACATAATTAACAAAATACAGAATTTCGGCGTGAAAAGCTTTGTTCCACTGGCGGAGGTTTTGCGACTAATGTGCGTCTAATGAGCCCCCACCATAGGTGACAAGGCGCTACCATGTTCACTTGAACTAGGGTATACTGTATGCCGTGAACTCAACCAGGTCCTTGATTGGTCCACTTGGATTCGGCCGGGTGCGGTGCGCACCCAGCAATGAATATTGACCAAACCGGTGCAAGCAAGGAAGGGAGGTACACCGCTGTCCCATTTTTCGATGGGCCAAAATGAATATAAACCACCGATGCCTAACAACTTTTCAAACATGGCTATTGTGGGTTCTCAGTCATTTCCCCATTTCTTATTTTTCTTTGACACTTGTATTTTTGTGTTTTTGCCTCCTGAGGAGATTATTCAGATGCTCATGGAAGATCACTTTTGTTAAGGCTAATGGCATGTGATATTGATAGGCTCTGCGGCGGCCATTTCAAGGTCGTGGCCGAAAAAGAAACTTATAGCCAATCAGGGTGCTAAGATTACTTTAGGTCGTCCCCTTGAACCGTTGGGTTCTTTGCGAAGTAGTGTTTAATCTGATGTGCTCGTCTTCTGCATTTGGGTCTGACATGTAGGGATTTTTGGTCACGAAGATATGTGGACTAATGTCTTCCGACAATAACAGTCCTGCTAGGTTGAGGATTAAGGTAGCAGGGGAGGTGTTGGAGAAACATATTGTTGGGCCATTGCGGAGTGCTGACAACGAAATGGCTGCGTGCACAGTAGAGGACGTCGATAGAAACGCACAGTAAGCTGATTTTCAGGGCCTTTCATTCCACTTTTCAGTGACATAGGGTGCGCTGGTGACTCTTCTGATCAACAATATCCCGCACATTCTATGCCTACAAGTCACCCCGTAGAGCATCACGACCAGGAGCAGGGGCCTTTTTGCGTATTTTGTGGATTAAATGCCCAGGTCAAATTTGGACAAGGGGAACTAAGGCGGTTCCACACTAACGAAGAGCCAGTCCCCGTTCCCTCATGGTACAAGGAGTTGATGGCTTCGATGAGCGAAAAGCAATCAGCAACTCATGTCGCCTCTCTGTCTAATCGACAACAGGTTTCGCGAAAAAGTCAACACAATCGTGCGATAACTATTACTCCACCCCCAGTTGTAGCGAATTTCGAGAGCCGCCGAGTTGGGCCATATGCATCTCTTGATGGATGTAGGCGCCTGAAAGAACACAAAAATATTGGGTAAGACCTAGCCAATTTTATAAAACTCTTTCAGTTCTGATGGAAAGCCATGCTTACCTGGCCTTCCTAACGCCTTTTTTGACTGCGAAGGCCGGCCCTTCGGTCTTGTTGAAGAGCTCGGTTACATTGGCTGGCCTGTCGCTCCAGATGGAGAGGAAAGCCTACAACTACAACATGTCATTTCTAGTTGCTCTCCTCGCGAAGGGGGCGAGGGAAGTTGGATCTTCGCTCATCACTGCTGTGCCTCTTGGTCCACCGGCGTACACTTCAACGAACAGGTGAGTTGAAGGGCGCCACTTCTCAGTGATTTCGGCGAACGTTTATGGGATTTCACGAATTTCATTCCTGGCGGCTTACGTGTTGGATTACCTGGTTCTACTGGATGGGTGATGCATGTAGAGCTTCCTAGGTGTTCACCTGAATTGGTTTCCGTGGCGTCATAATAGTCGTAGAGTGATACTTTGGCACCTGGACATTTTAACATGACCCAATCACGCAAACGATGAGAAAAATGCTGAGTGTCATAATAATAATCTCTTTCCCACTTGCATCCAAAATACCCATATTTGATAATTTAAATGTGCAAAAAGGGCAAGATCACCCATGTGCGTCACCATAGTGACTCTCTGTGTTAGTAAAACATGGACAAGTCTTTATTCCCTAACGTGCTTTCGGTGGATCGTTAACTAGGTTGTTTGGATATCTTCATGGTTACCCCAAAGTGTTTTTGACGTATACCTGTTTAGGCATTACTGATTGTAGTCAGACTAGGAGAAGGATATAAATGGTGCTGACATTGTATTTCGGTGTTTGGGTATAAGGCAGGTCAAACCGAATGCAATGGAAGTTCAGACCCAATGGTTCCAGAATTATATTTGCGAAATACATGGCCATCGACGTCTGATACCGGACTGCTTACCTTTCTTTCGTGGTCATACACTGTTCAGTCTCGAAATAGCTAACTGGTTTTGAGTGTTCCGAGGGACGTTTATTTTTTAGATATGGAGCTTTGTCATCTACCGCAACGTTCAGTGCTTGATGTTGTAAAGCTGTAAAATGAAGTCACAACTTTCTAGCAAGCCAACTTGTGCTGGTTGTTCCCCATCGTATTGCAAGTAGCAGCCAGTCGATGAACAAGTAATCATAGTTATAGGGCACACTTCAACCAAAGTAGTGGACGTGAAACAAAGGGTATGGAGGATTGCCCACCAGTGCTTAGTAAGTTTCCTAATTTCGAGAGCTCTGCATGCCTCAGTATATGTAAATATGGTGCAGCGCATTTTTCGCTAAAAGTTAAGTTAGACATGGAAACTTGTTGATCGTCACGTGCTGCCGGAGACTTGGAGGCTTGCATAACCTGTCTCATCGAATGCATGTCATTTGCTGTAAGCAAGTGAAGTAATATCTGTACTGGAAGATACTACAGTTCCACAGATTCAGACGACACAGGAGCTCTCTTCAAGAATAAACGAGACATTGCGAAAGCCCTGTAGATTTTCGCTATTGGGGTATGGTAAAAAAGTCGTGCAAACTTAAGTACAAACTATCCACAATTTTAGTATTCCTAAAACTTTGAGGCGCATTCCACTCGATTGACCGGTCTTTTCTCCTTGACAAGCTTGCCCATCAAGGATTGCCCCGGAAGTTTGTGAACATAATAATTTCGTTGTATTCTGAGACTTCCGGATGTATGAGAGTATACGGAGAGCTCCCCAGATGGTTTCGTACACAAAGCGGTGCTCGTCATGGGTACCCACTCTTCATTATTATTTGATTTCGTTATTGGCGAGATAATGAAAAGAACGTTGGAAGGTCTTGAAAACATCGGTGTTCAAATAGCCGCTGATGAAAGCTTTGCTTATCTGAAATATTCAGACGACATCATTCTCGTCTTCATTGAGGAGGGGAAGGAGCAAGTGCTTTTGAATGAACTGACCAAAGCAATACCGTCCCTTGGTATGCGCTTTGCACCCACAAAGTGAATGATCGTGCTTCTAGACAAGCAGTCACTAAACGCAGGGGGAGGAACTGGACGTTGTATTAGCTGTGATTGTAGTGTGACAGATGAGGTCAATGAACGAATCTACAAGGTTTGGGTCTCGTTTGCCAATTTGGGACACCTATGGTGTCAAAGCGGTGTATCCCCGAATCTCAAGAAACGTTTATATCAGGCTACATTGCGGGCTGTTTTGTTTAATGGCTGTGAGACTGGGCCTGTTTGAGCAGCTGAACTGAGACGTCTTCAGGTAGTCGACATCCGTTGTCTCACAACCATAGATAGTGTAGTTTGGTGTCGGCGAATCCGCAAGGAGGCAGTTTTCGATTGTGCAACGAGAACTCACTTTGTAGAATGTCCAGCACCAGAGGCCATATGCTGCGCATGCCGAACCATCGTTTGTCAAATAGTGTACTGTCTTCCATGTCCGATTCAGAGTGAAAGAAGAAATCGTCCAGCTATAGCACCCTTCCAGTGTCTAACTGCCAAGCTACCCGAAGGAAACACGAGGACTAAGATACTGGAAGGTTGCCCAAACCTAGACAGGAGAAGTCGAGAGGCAGAGGTCGGGTTCGAACCACGGACCTTCCGGTCAGTAAATCCGCGCTCTAACCACTTGGGCCATCTCGCCCCCATTCAGAGTGGTGGGATCAGAGAGGTGACCAATCCTTGAGCTTTCAGACAGGTATGAAAGGGATTACGGAAAGTGTAGGCGCTGTCGGTGCTACTGGTCTTCAGGGATGAGAATCACGAGATCCCCACTGCGCCTGTTGTGGGCCACTGCAATATATGGCTGCTAATCGGTGTCAGTGGCCTTCGTGTTGTCAGTTTCTATCCAGATTGTCTGAGTGAGTGTCTAGAAGTGTAATCACCTTGGAGTGGTTGTTGTAAGCCAGCACCGAATCCCTTCCACGTTCACCTTTATTCTTTTCTTCACAATAACGCCTCCAAATAAATCATTGTTGAATGGTAGCAAAGCACCATACACTGATCCAATTCAGTTCATCTCAATTTATCAGCTACAGACCGTGTGCCATAGACACCTTGGTTCTAACTGCTGCAGTTTTGATCCCCGGAAACTGGAATATTGCAGCACGCGACCAAGCCTTGGAGACGAAGGCATGTTGAATTTGTTCGGAAATCGGGTAGCTACGCATTGAAGACGATAGTTTTGATGCACGAGCTCCATTGACTGCGCGATTGGGTCACTTCCACCACTGGTGATTTAAGGTCCGGGGTCCTCATCCAGGGAGGTGACGCTTGCCCGCCCGGCCAAGTTCACTGGTTAGTGTCTTCGTACTTGTTTGCTAGGTCATACACTGTCCACTTCTTGGTCGCTCCCATTCAGCACAGGGCTTGGAGAAGAGAGCTCTGTGAGGCGAACGGTCTTGTGGCATGTGGAGTACATGTCCCAACCAGCGCAACCTATGAAGCGTGAATAATTCATCTATCGCGGGAGAGTTCCTTCTTCCAACGACCATCTGGCGTACCTCAGCATAACTGATCCGATGTTCCCACAAGAACTGACCAATGCTGCAGAGACACCGATGATCAATCACTGACATCTTCTGTGTCCTGTGCGCGTAGGAGCCAGGTCTCGGATTCATGCGGTGGGTCGCACTACCGCATTGTTAACTCGTCCCTTGAGAGACAAGCTCACGTCACTTCGGCGCCATAGGTGTCGGAGTTTGGCTAAAACTGCCTTGGCCTTTTCGATTCCTTGGCCTCGATGCCTTGACCTCATCCGGTTGCTTAGGTCCAGCGATGCCAGAAAAATCAATGGGAAGCAGTCAGGGGAAAGACGGCGAGTTCCGGTACCGCGAAAAATCCTCTCATGAAGCGGTATGGGGGTAATGCCGTGCTCTGCCAGTTCCGGAGCTTGAGAAATGTCAGACGTTTCCTTAAATGACCAGGGTGCCCTAAAATCTACGCACTCTTGTCACCCAACGATTGGCCGTTGTCTTTGCAATACCATCGAGCAACAAATAGACCTTTCAAAGAACTCAGTGTGAAATCTGTGCCCTAGAGCCAGGCCATTTAATTTTTTGTTCCGGTAACGCGTTTGATTCAGATCTGGCCCACAAAGTCAGATTTACGAGAATCAACCTGGGCTTCAATTAGGTGGAAGGTCGCATCGACCATATCTTCACTTTGCAACAAACGCTGAAACTGCGCCTCCTTCGACGCCCAGAAACGGTTGCATTTGTTAATCTGGAAGCTACTTCTGATCCAGCTAACCGTAAAAAACTATAGTATTGTTTTGTAATCCCTTCTAAATTCTTGCCTGAAACGTTTCGTACGTCTCTTACCTTGGACGCCTACGTGTCTTCGACAAACCCTCTTCACTCCAGCACGACTAGTGATAACCGGCAAGGATGCTTTGTGTCACTCACTTCAACTGTGTAGTTGATATGTTGCTTGATTCTTACTTCTTTCTATCGAAATATTTTTCCGTGTGTTCTCTCAGAGACATTCAGTACACTGGCATTGTTATTGGATCATACTCCTTGAGAATTCGCACTATTCAGAATAATATAATTCGAGAGTGGAATATGTTGTAATGCGACGTTTTGGTTACCGTGGGTAACCTTTTGCAAGGATTGTTTATAGTGGCTTTTTGGATCAGGAACGTGGCCGTTGCAGTTCTTTGGAGACTTGATGTGGTTAACTATTGATGCATCGAAGGGATTGTATGGATGTTTTGGGAATATCAAAGCAATATTACTGAGTTAGGAAGGGTAATTCACAATACATCAGCTGGTCAGATCCGCTTGGTTACGCCTTATACTGTATATGCCAGAGGGCTGTTCACCTCTTGACGCTCGCTTTATCCAGCCATGTTTCGAATGGGAGCAATTCGGGGGCAGTCATCTCATGACACTGTAGGGAAGCGTGAAAGTCGTTACCAGTCAAGTCACTCGCGTTGCCAACTACCATCCGGCTGTTGAAGATCCTTGTTGGTCTGGAATATCCAGCCTATATTGCTCTCATCTTTGAAAAAATGAAGGAAATGCAAGCATTACTAGAAGTGATGATCAAGGTCATCTAGTTGTTCGGCATGTGCTTCGTTCCCACATAGTTCGAAGTCATGTTGTGTGACGTATAATCTTTGAGCATGTCTCTGTGAGTTCACAGTGATACTAGAAGTTTTGGAATGCTGCAAGTTCTTCAGGAGTTTCATTACCTCATAGTAGCGTGACAGACGAAGTCAACGCGGGAATTTTCAAGGTCATAATTGCGTTTGCACTTGAGGTTCCAAGCTTCCTCTCAATCTGTTGTTCA